TAATTTTATATTTTGCAATATTGCGAAAGTTATTACGTAATATTACGGTGTTCTTATGCTTCGTGAATTATTGCGCAATATTATGCCCTATTAAATTTGCTGATGTAGTCTCATCTCTGATGCTTTTATCTTAGACTGAAGAGCCTTTATCTCTTTTAGTTTTGTACAAATCTTGTTTTTATATTCATTAAGAGAAATATTCTTAAGAGTAATTTGGGATATTAGAGTATCTAACTCTGAGTGTAATTGCTTAACCTTATTTATAAGTTGGTAGATATGCTTGGAAAGTTTCTCTTTATCTTTATTAGATTGATTTAGATCTCATTGTATGCATTTATTGTTTTTATCCAAGACAGAGCATTTATTAGCAAGTCAATTGCCACACTCTATAGCAATTTCTCGATCTTGATTTGTGCAAGCAAGCTGATTTTCAAGTTCTGTTCAGCTAGGTAGATATTGATTAGGTGGAATACTTCCAAGTTTATTGCCAGATACCAGAGCTATTCTAGCATTTATCTCATTCAGCATATACAGATTTGCTATATAAATTTACTTGAAAGTAGATATATTTTTTTGCTTAGTAATTTTTTGAGATGGTATCAGAAATTTTTTGGCAAAAGTGGTTGGTGTAAATTATTTATATATATATATTTTTCTTCAAATATGGAGAAAGGAAACCAGAATCAAACTGATATCAAACTAATAATAAATCAGTTTAAGACAAATATGATATTTAAACTATATATATCTCAACCCTATTTGGATCATGATTATAGCAAGCTACATGATAAAGGAAATGAATTTTCTTTATATTTCAAACTAATATCAAACCAATATTAGACCAATGCCAAATAGGTTGCGAATAAATTTTTTACAAGTTTTTTATTAGTATTATATAAATTTATTATTAACAAATTATGAGTAAAAAAACTATCAACCTGTACTTATAAATTTTTTAGATCAGATATCACCCACTTGTCATCTGAAGCTATTGAAAAAATCAGAAATGCTTAGAATAATATTCTAAATGCTTGACATATTATGTGTAAAAAACATCATTTAGAGGCAATAACATATCAAAAAATCATTAATAATCAAAGACCTTCTAAACCAACTGAGGAGGAGCATAAAATCTTAGAATCTGTTAGCATCTCTGATCAGATTTCAAAAAATAACCAGGAATCTTTACAGCTGGTAAGTACTGAGCATGATACCTCTTCTACTAATATACAAGAAGATAAGATCATTCATATAGAGTATCCTAGAGATGATAAAGATGGTGCAAATTCTTATATAAGGCTAAATACAGTAACTAGTAAATGAAAAAATAAGGTTAGTTAAAAACAAAAGATTAGTATAAAGGCAAAAGGTAAATCTTCTCCAATAGAAAAAAATAAAATAACCAATTCTTCCAAAGATGATATATCTAGATAAGAATCTGATTTTGAAAAATTAATAAAAGATACTAAAAGATTAGCTCTTATTCTTCTATCTTTGTCTCAGTAAATTGAGAACATCTTTTTGCAAAAACCTTAATTATATTTAGAGCCATATCAAGCCACTTTTTAGTTTTTATGAGTCGCTTTTCAAGCTCTTTGCACTTTTTTTTAAATTATTTTCACTAGTCAAACTAGAGGAAATTTGGGCTGAATCATTCGGGGAGGATTCCCAAGGAACTACCTTTTGCTTCTTTTTTAGCAGATCCTTCACTACTAGGACATTGCTAAAAGTTGGGATAGTATAAGTCTTTCTATGTAATTTCATTTGGAATTGATTTTTATTTGGATCAAGAATACCTTGAACTTTTCTAATCTATGTCATACCTAAACAAGACATTGGTTTGGGCTCATCATTATCAATATGTACAAAATTCCCTAAAACTATAACTATGTTTCTTGCCTTATCTTTTATAGAGATTGGAATATCCGTAATCCATCCCAATGATTCAGTAATATGTTTCGAATTGTCACTTTTTATAGCAAAATCAGATTGTTTATTATTTTCCCACTCAAGCATTTCAATAGTTGCATTATTAATAGTGCTAAATTTACTACCTGGATCTAAAAAACTATTAGAGATCATTAAATCATTTATATTGCTATACAGATATTGTATTGATGAAAACCACTCATTAGTTTCTTCCTGAACTTTATAAGACTAGTTGGATTTACATATTCTTTGTATTGCTAGTGATAATGAATTCATTAGTTAATCATAAGTTTTTGGTATCATATCTTTCATAGTAAGTGCACTTTGTGCATTAATATGTGACTTATTATCTACTAGTAATACCTGTTTTTTTTTTCTAACTGAGATGAAGCATCCCATATATTATCTTCCTTATTATATCTACCTTCACCATCCTTAATATCATCTGAATCAGGAGATGCACATTGGGGTTGGGAAGGTATTATAGAAGGAAAGTATCGATGTGTTGAATTTGATTTAGCTACAGGTTTTTTGAATTGATTATCAAGTATCATTCTTCCAAATTGAAATGTTATTTGACCAATTTCATCTACTTTCGATTCTATTCTATCTATTCTCACAGATTGGTTTTGTTGCTGAGGGCAAGGTCTTTGAAAAGGTTTTATAGAATAATTTCTTTCTAAATCTTCTGTACTGAATATATCTAAATTATTTAAGAATTGTAATAAGCGATAATTTTCTATACCTTCTTCTGTTTGTAATGAAGATGGTAGACCTCTTGGCTGTCTAACTAGTTCAACAGTTTGAGGAGCAGTTTGCTTAGCATTTGAGATTCTAATTCTGTAACTTTCTTTACTAATATCTGGTTTTTAGTTTTTTGTTGCGCTAGTGTATTCTGGATTGCTTTTTGCATATCTTCTAAAGAAATTCCTTGCTATTGAAGAGCTGAAGTAACTAGTGGTAAAGAATAGAATACTAGATTTATACTAGATAAGGCTTGGACTTGATTGGCAATTTGACTTGATTTCTTTAAGATTCTTCTACCCAAATTTTGCCTATGCTCTAGCCACATATTTTTTAGTTCAATGAAAAATGTATTAATACCTGCAGGATTAACAATTCTCATCCAAGTATAAAAATTGCCTGTTAAATAACTTTGAAGAAATCCTAAAACTTGTACATCATTGTCTGCTACTCCTAATAATAGTAGTCAAATTCTGGCTTCATAGGTATTAGGAGTATTGTAGAGCTGATATCTTTCTTAAGTCAATCTTTGAATAGCCAATTGTTGATTTTCAATAGTTTCTCGCTAATATTTTACTCTCATCCAAGCTCATAATATATCTGGAGAATTTATAGCTGGATTTCCTACTACAAGATTATTATTTGCTAGTATTGAAACATATTTTCTACCCATCATAGATTTTAAAATATTACACTTGACCACATTGTCAAAATCTTCTATATTTGCATTCTTAAGAACCATCATATGCCCTTTAAGATATGCTCATGATTAAATAACTTTATTCAAGTAATCATCAGGTGGTTCTTGGCCCATATTAGGTAGAAATTTTGCAAGAGCAGAAGCTATTAATTTTAATACCATAAATGTCTAGCATCAGCCATGTTTATTTGATTTGGTGAATTATTATAAAGCATTAAAATTTGTTGATTTAAAATTAAAATATTCTGGTGCTCTGCATAAGTCTTATTTTTTCACTTCTTATATCATTTATATAACCTATCTTGATTATATTCTAACAAATCTCTATTGGCTTTGCATCATTGTAGATCTATTTATTTGATTAGTTCTTACCGTATTTATTTTTTGTTTAAGCTGTTTATTTTCATCTACTAATCTGGTTGTATAATCTTGTGCTTTGGGGGTATTGCTCGCAGATTTGGATATCTACTATATTCAGTTTTTTAATTTTGTCTCTCGTTTATCGAATTCTGATATTAATCTATCTTTATTAGAAATTTCTTTGTCTTTTCTTTTATTTTCTTTCTCGAGTTGGTAAACTATTCTTTTTAATTTTGAAATTTCTTCTATTAATTCTTCTTTCTCATATGTAGAGAGTTCAATAGTATTATTTGACTCTTCTTCAAGAAATCGTATTCTCTCTTCCCATATACCTATAACCCTTTCTAAGGTATATAAATGTTGTTTAAAATTCCTATTTGATTCTGCTAATTGTGATACTACCTTATAGAGTTTTTGGTTAAATTGTTGTAACTCCTCCATGTTTTTTATTACTATAATAAAACAAAGAAATGGAGAAACCTGTAATTTATATTGACCCACAGAGGGCCCATGATTTGAATAGAGAAATTGTTAAAGCTAAAAGAATAAAACAGCTTATAATAAATATTAGTTCTCGGAGAGCTCATGATTTGAATAGAGAGATTGTTTTGCAGAAATTATATTACCAACCTGAAGGTTATTACCAAAATGCTAAAAGATTGCGAAATGCTTGTATAAAAGCCAGATACAACTTTCTACTTGTTACAATAAAAAAATGGCTTGAGTCTCAAAAGATGCATCAAATTTATCACTCTTCATCAAAGAATACACCTTATGCTAGTTATTCTAGAATCTCAAAACCTAATTGTATTTATTAGTGTGATTTAATTAAGATACTATATGATGAAAACAAGTATACAAATTTATTGAATGAAGATAATGAAATATTTTATTATGTATTATTAGTTATAGATTGTGCAAGAGATATAAAGATTTTGTTTTTTTAACATCAAAGAGCAGTTCAAAAGTTGCCAATACATTTAAAAATATTTATAAAATCCTAATAATTACTTTATATATCCTCAATTGTTGCAATGTGATGAAGGGTGTGAATTTATAGGGAGTGTAACTTTATTGAAGGGTAAGCATAATATTAAAATTAGGAGAATCAAGGCTTGCTTTAGACATACAAGTCTAGCAATAGTTGATTGTTATGCTGAACTTTTTACTTTAAGAGTTTTTAAGAATCAATATGCGATAGAATTTCTCTTACCTACTGGTAAACGCTGTAGAATGTGAATGATTTGCAAGAAGAATTGTTGATAATATGAATGTTACTCCAACTCGGTTAATTGGAATAAGCTCTAATAGTGCCATAAAACTTGAACGAGTTTATTCCAAGCCATCAACAAAGTATTATTATCCAGTAGGTGCTGATGAGCCACAGTTACCAAAGAGAACTATAGTTTGATTTTTACTTGCTTCTAGTGAATAGGAAAATGATCTCTTTGAATGACAAAAAATAACAGATCCAATATGGTCTCCTAGCCTGCATAAGATCTGAAGAGTTGTTGCTGGAAAGAACTTTTCTATACCTGTTTTATATTACTTAGATAAGTCATGACCTCGATGTTCCTTTGTAAAGGAACAATTAATGCATATTAAGGAAGAGCCTATGTTACTTCCTAGGTAGATACTGGAAGATAACTAAATGCATAAGGTGCTCTTTATAAAAGTTTCTAAGTCTACTACACAGTAGGGTATTGTAATAAGAATTATTCCTTTTCTATAACATAATGCTTTTTTTTTCAATCATGCCAAATTTGTGTATCTAGATTTATCTAACCTTGTAGGTAAAAAAAAGGCATGATTTGGTAATGTTGATTACTACTATATTCGAAAGCCAAACCTAACTCTTCATTATATCTGTCTAGATATAAACCCTCTAAAAATTTAGGTTTTTGAGATGAGAATTTTTTATACAATAATTCTTCAAATATATATCAACATGTCCTTTCAAATATATGAGGACAACTATTGCACCACTTATAATTTCGTTTCATATCTCTATAGGATGCTTTCTATCAATGCTAATTTTTACAAACCTATAAATAAATATTAGGGTTTGATCTAACTTTAGCCAAGCATTGTTCTTCACATTTTTTGATATAGGTAAGGGCTTTAGTATTAATCTCATTATAATCTTGTATTTTTATAATATGATTGAAGTTATATGATTTTTAAGATTTTTTTTTAATACATTTAATGTAAGAAAGCAAAATATAAAAACTATATAATAAAAATATCACAAAGTACTATATAACTGCCAGAAAATAACAGCAGAGCTAGTGTTAAAGCATACATATCCTCATTGATTAAATTGAATTCCTAGATAAGACCTAGTCTCGAGGCTTTGCCTTTTCTAATAGGAGGGATGGAGTGATAAGACCTAGTTTTGAGGCTCTGCCTCTTTCTATTATAGCAAGTAGTTTAATATTACCGCTATCAGTATATATTTTTTTTATCTTGCTAATTATTGCAGTTATGTAGTTTGTTATATTGAGACATATATGGAATATAGATAAAAAAAGTAATCAGTTGCAGAATATGTGGGTTGGATAACTGAGACTATCAATTTGAACTTGAGTATTATTTATGTATGAAAAAATATTATTAATAATGTTTAAGTATTGCTAATATTGGAGAATATATTTGATACTTAACAATATAGAATAGCACAGCTAATCAATTCAAGGCTTTGATATATTTCGTAAACCATTTTTTAGCTTTTTTTTGAGAATATACATTAATCTGCTTCTCTTTTTCATCTAAATCTTTAAGTTGCATAATCTTATGCAAAGAGGGTGATTGATATCTATTATTATTATTGATAAAGCATACATATATTTCAACTATTTTTTCTAAATAATAATTAATATCTATCTTCATATTAAATTCTTTTGCAATATCTAAAAACTCTATATAGTTAGCATTTCTACGTAGTATTAACTGACCATTTTCATCATGATATTGTTTACCTTTTACAACCACATAACTAAAGCACTCACTTAAATCAGAAATTTTGTTTTTATAATTTTCTTTCATCTGTTTTATGAAGTGCTAAACATATTTATTATCTTTATTAGGCTTCTATGTAGCCATCGCAACAAATTAGTTAAAATCCTATTGCTTTTCACTAGCTTCTCTAAGAGTATCTTTGACGATTTGATAGATTGTGCATATATTATTGATATTCATTGCCTCCCTCATAATTTTTTCTCTAACGAATCTGAAAAGCTCTGTTTGGCCTTGCTTTATAGTATTAATACCTTTAGTAAATAGCTTTTTTGGCTTGAAATTTACTATTTCCTCATGTGCAACTCTGAAGTATTTCTTTTTACCAGTAAAACATACAGAGAATAATACTTTCTCATATGCCATCTTTAGATAAGAGGTACCATTTTTTATTCTAAGATAAGTATTTACTTTGTTATGAAATTCATCCATCACCTTCATAGTAATTTTTACCATTTCACTTCAATATGTCTTTTTAGAAAGCTTGTTTTTATTATAATCTCTATTGTATTTTTCATAATACTTATCTGGGTAGGTAAGATATAAAGAGTCAGTATCACCATACTTGATCCCAAAGCCTTTCTCTATAACAAATCTAGCAACAAGACCAATATTGTATTGTTCTGCTAAAGTAATTCCTCCAGCTAATTCACGAAGAAAGAATAGAGAGTTACTATTACCTGCCTCACCATAAAATATATTCATATACACCTTCAGAGCAAATTGTTTTGAATTTAAGCAATTATAATCAAAGCATAGGGAATCATGTTTTGATTTTAAAGCATTCGGTACAATTTTATCCTTCTCTTTTATAGTATTTATAAGCTTTTCAAGACACTCCTTCTCTTTACATAATAGAGTGAACTTTGATTTTAGATCTACTCATTTATTAAACAGATCCTCTGGAACGATAGGATATAATCCTTTTTTTTCAGAACAATTGCTATGACAGATGGCCTAGGCAACCCATTAAATGAAAATTTAATCTTATATAGTTCAATTCCTCTTCCATATATATTATTAGCCTCTTTATAGTTTAATATTAATTTTTTAGATGAAAGATTGTAAGCCATGATAAGGCTGGGATATAATGAGGTGAAATCAAGACCTATAATGAGATGCTTATTCTCAATACCTTTTATTGGAAGAAAAATATATGCTCCTGGATACTTACTCTTTTCTTTATCTTTGTAGCAAATTATACTAAATAACATATTCTATTTGGTGGCATAAGTGCCCAGAAGATTTCTTACCTTCATTCTATTTGCATGATAATGTGTATCAAATAAAGATACATAAGCTATAGAGGCAACTTCTCTATAATTATTAATTACATTATGTTTGACTGCAAGTTCTTGGCAACGCAATACATTTATAATACAATAGTTTGCTACCTCATGTATATTTCTAGCAGTTATATTAGAAGAGCATTCCTTTACCTCAGAATAGTAGTTCCATAATCTGTTAAAAAGCATATTAGTTTTACTCTTGAGCCCATATAATTTTAAGCAGAACTTAAGTGAACTTTCTTTTTCTACTTCTGAGCGAGGGTAAAGTCTCTTAAAACATGCACAAACATCGATTGATATATATCCAGGTATTTTAAGAAAGGAAGATTTAAAGGTATCTTCTGGGCTAACTTTGATGAAAATGAAATCTCTTCTAAATTCTTCTTTCACGTACTCTTCTGTATTCTCTTCTGTATTCTCTTTCATGGAAGAGTACTCATTTGGAGTAGTTATTTCTTCTAATTTCCTATAGTAATTCTATTGTATAATATCTTCAGAAGTTTCCTGGCGAATTCTTCCTGACATTTGTTTCCATATCCATTCAATAAGATGTAACCTATTAGCTTTTTTCATAATAAAAGGCCAATCATATTGTGAATCATTAAATCCGAGTTGGATATCTGGAGCGAATACCTGCCAGCAAAGTGTAAATACTTTTAGCAAATTAATTTGCGATTCACATATAATTGTAATCTAGCACGGATCTGGTGCCATTTCAACATTAACAAGACAAATCTGTTTTAAAGGTTTCAGATCATCTTTCCAATGCAAAGTTATGCTAATTATAATCACGCTATCTTCTTTGTTAATCGCTTCAGGAAATTCATCCAATTCACATAAACTATAGGTTTTTATGTCTCATGTGAGAACAAGTGTACAATCTCTCATAAGTGCTAAAATTGAAAAGCGATCTTTAAATGATGCCAGGTTTTCTATAGGGTGGAAATTTTCTATAGATACCCAGAAAGTATATGCACAAAGCGGGTTTCTCCTTCCTTCAATTTCACACGTATAATTACTTATTGTAGACCATCCTGATAGTGAAATTCTATATTCATGAACCACCTTGTGATAGTACATAAATTGATTATCTGATGCTGTTACATACTTTTTTTTTTGAATAGCTTTCATTGCAATCTTTCTTTGCTTAGTATTGGTTGTGTAAATATGCAAATATAACTTTTTATCAGGATGATAACCATGAAATGGATATGCCTTTACATGTTCTATTTTTAACCATTTTATTTCACCAGAGAGGATGGCCTTTATTTTTGTTTCAAACAAATTAGAAGACTCATCTTCTAGTATGAAAATATCAAAAAAGACTTGAATTCTTGTTATTGAAACAACTGCTTTCTGACCATTGATGAGAGGGCCATAGAGACACATTATATACTAGGCTTGACCATTTGTGAAATCAGTGGACTTTTTTACATCAATGGCCATAAATTGAATATCTTGATGCTTAGATAAAGCATCTTCAAGAATTGCTATTAATCCTTCATTGTTTTCTGTGACTAAACCATCACAGATTAGAATACCTATCAAATAATTTTTACCAAAGTATCAGAATAATTGATTAGTTTTTTTATTTTCTGAAATCTGTGATTGAGGAAAAGCTTTGACCCAGTGGTAGAATGCCCTGCTATTTTCTTCCTCTATCTCTGGCACGTGATTGATAGTTTCCTGAAAATTTTGAATATTTTGGATAGTCATATTATATTATTTTTTGAAACTATAATAGCGGTTAGAGAAAAGTTTAAAATAAAAATTAATTATTTTAGGTAATTAGTGTTAAACAATATATACTACTTAAAAAATGTATTAGCAAAACTTTAGATATGGGATTTTACCATTGTCTTTATATTCTTAGAAGTGGAAAGTATATAATCGAGATTGCTATTGACCCAAGGAGTGTATAATTTACTAGAATTCTCCTACCCGCATACCATATAAAGAATATGGTTGTGTTAAGTTAATATCTTCGATATATGGAGTATGCAGAACTCATGCTAGTAAGTATCATTCTCAGGACCACTATTATCAGGAGAAGCTGAAGAAGATAACACAAAATAGTATTATAAAAAATACATAGTAAATATATATGCGATATCTTAGTATGGTCAAGTATTACCAAAATTTTTTAGTACCAAAAAATTTTCAGAGTCGAGATCTCTATCAAATTTTGCATTTTTAAACTTTTAAAAAGCTTTCTAGATATCTGTCACTGAAAACTCTAAAAAAGATTGAATTTCTCTAGCTTTTTTTCTTTTTTTTTTATATATAGATATATTATATATATATATATATTAAAGGTAGGTATATAATA